GCCAGATACAAGGTCTTGCCTCAGAAATACTATAAGCATGGTATATGTAGTTGCAGTATTATTTCTGGTTCCACTCTGTCCTCATCCTTATTGTTCTCTCGTATCTTGCTACTATCAATTTACCCAATCCTGTCATATAAAGGTGTCTCTCCAAGTTACTTCTAGACAGTATATGAATAAATGAGGTATAAGGATAAAAATACATGGGTAAATAGGTAGATACTCTTAACGGCATCTGGTTACCTTGCTCTTCCTGATAAAGACTTTATTTAAATCAAAGTAAATTTCACAGAAGTGATTTAATTCAGAGAAATCAGATTCCATGCAAACCAATAAGCTAACAACAGTTCCACAATAAGCAAATATACGTAGGTGGGGCCTGATAATCAGAGAATTGGCTGGCTTGAATATCTAAGCAGGCTCGGAGTTCCACTGACATGTCCACAAGTCCTGGGTTTCACACCAAGCATCCTGGGTCCATAATTCAGGTGCAGACTATCATCTCAGGGATCTGCTTTTAGGAAATCTAAAGCTTTATTGCATCAATCAAACCATTTTGTGGAAAAAGTGTAAAGGAAAGTTAGAGGAAGAGAGATGGTATTATTTTCATATCCTTATGCTTCTTTTTCCAGGATATACTTAAATCACCTAGAAAGTAGCTGAGAAATATTCTTTTTTTTTAAGACAGCCAGATATGAGTAATTAATTCCAGGTACAATCTATGCTGAAAGTGTAGACTTTGCTAAAATCTGCCATATTGCACCTTCAGTCCTTTTCTTCCATGTGAAGAAGAAGACTTCTCGTGTAGTTCTTGCTAGAGCTAAGGAATGGTTAAGTAACTAAAGGAACTAAGAATAAAATGCCGTATATAATCCTCCATGTTTACTCTTTAGGGAAGATAATAGTCAGTGTTCTCTAGTGGCCCAATGGCTAAGTGGGTATGAGAAAGAAGAAGCATTTGGTACTCATACCCAAACCTCACAGGGATACTTGAACTACCTTTACAAACCTACAAGGGACCCAGTTCCTGTTATGCCTCCAAAGTATCAATGGGTCATGGTGCTTACAGAAGCAAGTATGAATTCTTCAGGTATTCAAAGCCTACTTTGACTCCAAGGATACCCTGTAGCATACCTTTACCATCAGGTCTCATTCTTTAACATACAGTCTATGAATCAAAAAAAGAAATTATTCTGATTCTATTCATTTTTTCCCTCTTCTTCAGATTCCCTCTCATCTCTTAAAATGTATATTGTATGTATTTGTCTTATACCAAATGCTTCATCTTCCCCGTCCTTTATCCTACAAATTACATGCCTTGTTGCATAGTTAGCGGGGATAAACACTGTTCTTTCTACCCCGGGGCCATCTTTCCTCTTACTAGTCAGTATGCCACTAGGCTCTCACTGTTCAAAATATTTTTCTAAAGGTATCAAACTTACTTTCAACCTCTCAAGGCAGGCTAATCATAATCTGCCTTCATATGTAACTTTTATCAGTTAGTCCTAGTTTTTCTTTCATTGTCTCTATGGAATATGCAGAAACTTCCACAAAAGGGCCTTTGAAATATTTGATGATGAAAACAGTTTCATCTTAAGGATCCTGGAATTTCTGGAGTGCGGGAAGTGCATGTTGTTACAGTGAGTTTTCCAGGGAATCTAACCAGACTAAGACTACAACCTTTTTCTACCAAGATCTCTCTAACATGGCTGTTTTCTGCTCTTACTAATGCTTACTTAAAAACCTGGACAGTCACAGACATTCCTAGTCATTTAGGGTCCCTGGATACATGATAGAGAACTCTTACAAAGACCAGCACCACTGAGACACTACGAAGTGACAAATACGAGGGGCGCCTGGGTGGCTCAGTTGGTTGATCATCTGACTCTTGACTTCAGCTCAGGTCATGATCTCACAGGTCATGAGTTCAAGCCCCGGATCCAGCTCTGCACTGATGGTGAGGAGCCTGCTTGGGATTCTCCTTCTCCCTCTCTCTCTCTCTCCCACTATCTGCCTCCCTCACCTCCTTAAAATAAATAAACTTAAAAAAAAAAAGGAAATGACAAACATGAAACAAGGCAGGAGGGCAAAATAATTACTTTTCATGTCTCAGAACACAAGAAAAATAATGTGTTTATTTAATAAATAATAAGTGCTAATTAATAACTCTTAATAAGTAAAAATCCTTAATAAGGATTTGTCATGGCTCTTGGTGAAAAAACTGTTCTATTTCTTTTATGTATTATGATAAGAAAAATATATTTGAGCATATTAAGTAATGGATTTGTATATAAAAGCTATCAAAATTTTAATGAGATGCTTGAATAGGCATGGCTTATAGAGAGAAGCACACAAATGGTACTCAAATAGAACTGTAACTGTGGTAAATTTCTGCATGGTCTGAAAATAATTGTATCACTCTAAAAACTTACAATAATTCAATGTTAAATTCAACATACAAAATTTCAACATAATTTTGAAATTTGAATACAAAAATTTTGAAATTTTTGAATACAAAAATTCCACATAATTAATCCCTCCTCATTTGGGAAGCCCATTCCTGGAAGAACATGGGTCCCTGTGAAGAAATGGCGGCTTATGTGTTCTTCCTTTCCCCCTCCTCCCTTTCTGCCTCCTTCTCTCTCTCTCCTTCTTTTCTCTTTCTTTCACTATTTCATTCTAACATAATTTTTCATGGACGTTAATTGATAATCCTTTCACTTCACTGAGCTGCCTCAAGGCCTAAAAATATGCTAAACCACACACCCTATCAATAAAACCCTCCAGTGCTCAGAAAGCAAGTCAGTACTGGACAGTCCACAGGAAGTGGGGAGAAAGGGCCCTTTACATAAGGGCAGAAACCAGCAGAACTGATGGCAGCTGCTGTGCCTATCTTGTTGCAGAAAGGTGTGTGTGTGGCGGGGGGAGCGGGGGAGGGTATCTTGAAATGTCAAACGGCCTGTGTTAGGTCCGCAGTTTACTTCCTTTTCTAAACCTCTAGGTCTTCAGCGTTCCCTAGCAACAGACGCAGAGGATCAATTCAGAAAAGTGCTTTCCAGAGCATTCCTATCTAGCTACTGACCAAGCCATTTTAGTTTATGTGACCAAGCAATTGAAATTCACGGAGATTTATCACCGACTGTCCTCCGCAGCAAAACCGGAAGAACGCCGCTTGATATGTATGCTGCTAATGTCTAAGATGACTGATTCTACCTCGACCGCACAAGCACGGATCGGTTTCAGTAAGAATTAGTAGTCTCTGCATCTCGCTGTGAACCGACAGTGTTGCTAGGGAAACTGATAATTATGTGGCAAAATGGAGGGTGTAGAATAGGAAAGGGGTTCAGAAGAAATGTAAGGTTTTGATCCAAATCAGCATGTTAATAGTATAGTTTGTTGATCTTCTGTGGTCACATAATTTAATAAATACCATTAATTGTATGTTTGACAAGATACAGATTTCTGAATTGAAAAGAAATAAACGGAAATGAATTGAACCTTGGAAAACTACTGGTTACTGATCACACTTTGTGCAGGCCACAGCAGAAATACGTATTTACTACAAACTGCAATTAATTTTGAGCAATTAAAATATTCGAGAAGGTAAAAAGAAACTAATTTTTTTCTCACATTTGTCTTCAGAAATCAATCTTAGAGTTCCAGATATGAAAATTATAATCCTATAGAAGCTCTAATAAATTTGCTTCTATTCACTTCAAAGATTAAGTCATATAACCTCAAAACACATACTAGTGTGGAGAAAAAAGATGTGCTACTATTTTAATATTATACAGAGTGAAGCCAATCCAGAGATGCTGAACGACCTTCCTGAAGACACACAGCTCTTCAGTTAGTGGTAATGCTGGTGCCAGATACTCCTCTTGAAGCGGCCTAAGACGCATTGCGTGCACAGTATATTTTGTTAAGGGAAAGCCTGGCAAAAGGAGATAAATGCAGTAAATGGTCTCAAATCTCTAGATCTCACTTTTGAAGGAAGATGTCCAATACTTTTCCTTTTTAATGGCTAAGAGTTTAGTTCTAAAAGTGAATGATATGATATAAGCACTTGTGTATCAGGAAAGTCTCGCTGGAGAGATTTTAATATGTGAGAAAGCTCATCAAAGAATTAAATAGCTCATTAGTGACAGTTTTACTGCATGTCAAATCACGGCCTGGAAGCTGTCTGGCCTATCATGACAGTGCTGATTCACAACATTCTTTTATTTTCGCTTCCAATGTCCACTAGGTACAAACTTTAAAAGATGAAATCGAAGGTTTTATATCCTCCTGCGTATTTATCTTTATAAATTCTTATACATTTTCTAATTTATAAATATACCACAGATATTAAAACACTCATTCACATTCATATACACACAACCTATGTATGGATATGTGTTTGTGCAAGAAAGTAAGTGACTGATGTGTGTGGTAGGTACATAAAACAAAACAAACATTTATAAGAGAAAACGTTTCCAGTGTTTTGATCTTATTTGGTCTCCGACAGCAAAGAATGGGAAGTATATACAGGACACCAAGGTAAAAGCTTAAAACTATACAGAACTTTTTAACTCAATGAATTCCAAGTGCTAGAAGTAGATAATCAGCCTTCTGATGTTAGGAAAAAGATCTCCATTCTGAAAACTTAAAAATCGTAAGCCTGACTTCTTAATACATAAATAGTACAGCTTCGCCCAAGATGGGATGAACTAACATTTTAAGGTAGTTTATCTTTTTAAGGTAGTTTATGAAGTCTATCATAATTAGGATGGCTTAAAAACACTTGGCTTGCTTAAGTTTCAATTTTGTTATTTCCTTACATCAAATCGTTGATTTTTGATAAAACAAGAAAGAAACGATAGGTTCTTATCTTGAGACACCTTTTTTCCTTTTCCATGGCAGGAAAGGTTTTTCAACTTTTAAATCTCTGGGAAAGAAAAAGAATATAAGGCCAAAGTTTATAGTCATTGAAAACAATTTCTGTGGTAGGAGAAACAAACCTTGACTTAGGCCATCTTGACAAGATGTCTGCTTGACATCCAAGTTCTCCATGGCGTCTCCTTTGGAGACTTCACCCAGAGATGTTCTTCTCTCAAAGATGTTGTTGTTATTGTTAACTTGTGTGCCATTTTGCTTCAGGAGTCTGAACACTTCAGCTTCCAAATCTCTAATCTAAGAAAAAAAAAAAAATCCATCCATAAAACTCTAAGCCAGCACTCCTCTCCAAGTACTAAGCAAAACCATCCTATTCCTTCGTAGTTTCGAGCACATAACTCACCCGTACTTGCAGACCCTGAACTTCCACAAGATGAGCTTTTTCCAAATCTTCTATTTTCTTTCTTTCTGCTTCCTGTCTCTTGAGGAAATCAAGTTCTCTTAAGAAGAAAATAAAAGATCTGATTGCACCAGATACTCCATAATAAGGAAACATGTGAACATTCTTATCTGAAGCAATAAGCCGCACAGTGGGATAAATAACTGGATAGCTATTTAAATAAACAAAACTCAATCACAGTTAGAAAAAAAAGGTATCTAGTAATGAAGGCAAATAAAACATTTTAATGGATCTCAAAGTAAAGAAAAATGCTTTGAATCTGCTTACTGTGATTTTTCACTTGTAACTCCGGATTCTAGAACACCCAGACAGATTTAGAGAGAAGCTACTGAACTAATAACCCACCTTGGGTAATTTAGTGGAGATAATTACATGTCACGTAGTTATTATTCCACATTTACAAAGTAAATATACTTAGTAAACTGGTGGAAGTGGATGGTAAGAATTTACAAAAGATAATTATTAATTTGCCTTCTGTGAATGACAGTGGCAAAGGGCTGGGTGGGTCAGAAACAATGTGAGGTGGAGCGGGGAGCTGTCACACACCTGAGGATAATATAGGGAGAGGGAAAAAATATCTCCATTTGGAGAGTCTGGAATACATTTAGCAATGTTTATTATAAAGTTGTTTTGTGAAATAAAACGAGGTACGATCTTTTTGGCGAGAAGAGTTAAAATAGTGATGTACCGAATTTATGATCACAAAGAGTAATTTCCCCCTTTTTAACAATAAACATTTTGTAGCAATCTCCCTTAAATATTAAAAACATTCTTTCTGTGATAGGAAATGACAGAGATATTATGAATTTTACATATACACTTAGCTTATTCTAAGGCTTGGCATGGGGCAGAGTGCCGGCACTGCTTTTTGTTGTTCTAACTGGGCTGGAAGCAAACTGATGAAAAGAAATCCACTAACAATCTCCCTGAAATTACACCAAAATCCAACAGAGGGAAGCAAAGCAGCGTGAGTTCGGAAAGCGCTGCTGAAATGCAAAAGCAGAGTGTGGTGCCGGAACTCTCCTGCTGCAGTGCACTGAGACCCCTGTGATTCTCTCTCGACAGCTGAGGAAAAGAAAACGGCAGGGCAGGGGGTCTTGCTAGTCAATATTGACACCATCTGAAGTGGGAAAATTCTGCAGTTACTGATTCAAAGAGCAGAGATAGAAGCGGCCTCATCAAGGCCCCAACTGCTGCTCTGCGCGGATGGTGGTTCTGCGGGACTTCAACTGGGCTTCTTGCTTCCGAGTCACAGAGTTGTTTCGAGAAGGACAGAGATTTAAATGTTTTAATAGTTACTAGGAATGATTAACTATCAAAAAGAAATCAGGAGATAACAGACAGCCCAAAAATTGTAATATAAACAAAATATAATCTCACATGAAAAAACCATAGAAGTAATTTCCAAAACTATGCTTTCTAACCATGCTTCTTAAAGGGATCTCCAAGATTATCTTTTCTATTCTACGAAATGTTACAAAATTACCAGATATAAGCCTTCTTTAGCTGCACACAACTCTTCTTTAGTCATTAGAAGCTACTTACTTTTGTTGAAAATCCTTGATCAATTTCTTTGCTTTGTTGTATTTCTTCTCCAAGGCCTGATACTGGCTTTGAGTCTCTTTGAGGTGCTCATTCACCGTGTGGCATAACGTCTGAGCCTCAATCCAGTAGCTCTCCAGCTTCAACATTCTCTCTTTATTCTCTTCTATATTCTGTTGGAGTTGGGTTTTTTCTAGTTCCCACCTCACTTTCTCATTTTCTGCTGCTTGCAGCTGGAGAAAGCAAATGTCAAGATAAGGATCACCTGGGTATTCTGTAGCAAAAATTCTTTATGTCTTTATAGTATGTTTTAAATTAAGCTCTGCTGTCACATATACTTAATCATCTAGAACCTTGATATGAGAAGAGCAAGTCTTATCTGCAGCGTTTCAGAGATTCTAAAATGGAAGGCTTCAAAAGTGAAATGCTTTGCCCAAGGTCACACATCTGATAAATAATAACACCTGGATTTGATTTCAACTCCCAGGATCTTTCCATCATACCATGTGGTTTGAAATTCTATGAACAGTAAACAAATAATGTTTTAGAGTTGATTGATTCTACCTAATGAACTTCAGTGTACTTTCTTTTAGAGTTTTTTTCTTCATATAATTAGATGTAAAAAAAAAAAATTAACTAAAAAGTGAAAGGGGGAGAGGCACACCGAGAAGGAGAGAAGGGCAGAAGTACAGTTTGGCCTAATAGTTAAGAGGGGTGTGTCTCTGGAGACATTCCATTTAGAGTTGAATCCCAGCTCTGGCATTACTGTTGGCTTTTAAACCTTGAGCAACCAACTTAAGTTCTTTAAGTTCTCTCCAGTAGATTATCTGTTAAGACGGAACTGTGATGTAACAAAACAGCATGCCTGGAACTGCTCCTGGCCATAATCTGATAAACGTTCGTTATTTTCACTTTTTTGTTATCCCTTTTAATACTATGATTACATCCTTTACTTCAATTGACACGAACATAGTCTGTAGCTCATTATTTTGCTGACAGTGTTCTGAATTTCCAGAAACTTATAAGCTACAATTTGCACGAAAGTATAAAAGATAATGTAAGTAAAAATACAAATTATTGCTGCACTATTTTAAATCCCTCCGACGGAACAGAAAGACAGCTTCCTGTGTTTCTGCTTCCAGGGACTCTTAGGAATAGATAGAATACTAGTCCAACCCCCTTATTTCTACAGATATTCAAGGCTGATCCTTTAGGTGAGGGATCAAAGGTCATCTATTCACAATAACTGACCTTTAAACTAGTGCTTCATCTATTTCACATGCTTCCTTTCAAGTTCAAAAGGATGCAGAGTCATTATCAACTAACAATTTTCAAAATCTAAGACATCTCCAAACCATACCACATTCAGCAAATATTTTAAACTAAATGCATTGGTGAAACAGATTACAAAGTCAAAAAATAAAAAATATTTCAAAACTAGGAATTCAATGATCAACATGGATATAAAGAGTCATAGTAAAATAAGCTACTATAAATATTACATGCCAATATAATAAAGAACAAAATACAAAATTCTTACTTATAGGATTTTCTAAATTAAATGTTTTTGGTCTAACATATAAGCTTTGTTAAAGCGCTTACAATCCACAGGGGAAATCTTTCTCCCTCATTATAACCAACAATTAAAAAAAAAAAAATCTGTTCTTCCATTCTGTGCTAAGAAACAATAGCAATTTAAAATAGGACTAGATTTTTACCACATCTTTTATTATGCAATGTTTTGTATTCAAGTTGTTTATTTATCAACCACTACTAATTTAAAAATGATTATTCACAGAGCTTGGCTGACACCATGAATGATGTATAGACATGTTTTGACTAAAGAGCTACAGAGTTATTAGCTGAGAATACCATTTAACCAAAATAGCCCTGCTAATTCATCTCCATTTAAAACACATGCAAAAAACAAAATAAGTGTTCAGCGTGAACAGGAAAACAGATCATTAGTGGTGAGGGAGAAATTATGTCTTAATTTTTAAAAGGACCATAAAACAATAAAGAATATTATTTTAAAAGTAATTCAAAAACAGTTTTAAATCTTTGAGATGACATATTTGATAAAATTAGACACAACTCTAGGAATTTACAAGTACCTTATAATTCACCAACTTAACATGCCCTTTTGAACCTAGTATTATTTCATATATACGCTAAGAATACATACTCCCTTTGACCAAGGCCTGCTTTTTCCACAACTTTAAATAATGCAAACTAAACTCATCTAAAAATTTCCAGGAGCATCTGGCACCTCAAGTCAATTATTCACATATTGTATTAAATTCCATAATATTTAATAGAAACTGGAATTTTTTCCATGAAAAAGAATGTGTTACATTAAAATACATGGTTTCTGCTGAATAAGTCAAAATAAATAAATGATTAAACCTACTTAAAGTAAGATAAATAAAGAGAGATACAACCTAATAGCTTGGATAATAACAGTATAATTAGTGGTCAAAACGTAATTCGGATGCTAGAACCTTTAACAATATTTAACTTTTGAGGAAATCTCAGAGTGAACCGGCCACATAGGTGCAAATATGTAAATATGTATTTTTAGACTACTGTGCTCTTTTCACTGAGGGAGTATGGTGGCGTTTGCCCCCTCTGGGTAGGTGTTCTCACTGGTGGGTTTGTCTACATATCTAACAGTGGAAATGAACCGCTCACATTTGTACTCTTTCAAATGCACAGGAACAAATCCTTTAGTCCCAGGGTTGAATGTAGTCACAGCATCCAAAGTTTAAAAAGCACAATTCAAACACCATATAATGGTGCTTACCTTGGTCTTCAATTTTTGAATCTCTGCTTCTGTAACTGCATGTTTGATTTGCAACTGAAAATTGAAAAGAAAGAAAAAAATCTGAACTAAGAAAGTGTATCTCTATTTTTAAAGCCTCAGCGGCTAGAAGAATACCTTATCACACAGCAGAAGGCCTAGAAAAGTGCTGCAGTGCAGCAGGTTGTAAATTAAAATGTCTAGTGTGTAAAATGACTCACTAGGTGCAAACTAATGAAACACAGGTTTTATGGCCCACATTCCCTAACAGATTAGGTTACGAATTTAATTGCTCGGGGACCAAAGCAAAGAAAACACATTTTCTAGCTCCCTTTGCAGCTCTTCCTTTCCGATCTGAGAGTCAAGGAATTGTCTCGGTGCAGTCTTGCGGACGGCACTAGCTGGCCCGAGGCCGGGGGAAGAAGCTCCGATTCCCAATCTGGAAGAAAGATGGCGCTACGTTTCCGCGAGTCACACCACAGAAGGCAGAGCAGCTCCTACACCGCTCCCGCTGTGAAGACGACGAGGGTTGCCGCAGTTCCACAGCGACATCGGTGATTTTTTTTTTTTTTTAATTGCAGGGAAAGGTGGAAATCCAGATTTCAGTACTCCAAACACCGGCTCCTGTTGAGGAAACTGCACCCCAAAGAGCTTCTGCTACCGTTTATCAGCATGAGAAACATCATTTACGTTTGTTTTGCTTCTCCCCTCCCCCCACTCTGTTTGCTCTGTAAGGGTGAGAACAAACGAAATATTTATTTCTTTAAGGAATAGAGACGTGCACCAAAATTTACAAAAAAACGATTTATGGGTTGAAAGTCTCTTCTCTGAGATCCTCGAGGCCAGATGTTTTTGGGATTCAGAATTTTCCCAGTTTCAGAAAGGCAGTAAGCTGCATTTTCCATAAATTGCTTATTGCTCACAACGTGGTCTGTGGAGGCACTTGGGATCAAATACACAAATATTTTTGCCACCAAACACAGGGATTTCCCATTAAGTGGGGTACACAATAGCATCCCGTTTCGGTCAGGTTCGCCACCAAATGGGTTAAACTTGCCACAAAATTATTTTAAACAAACTGTTTTCAGAGCATTTTGGATTTAGACTTGTACTAGAAAAAAAAAATAGAATTGTACTAGAAAGACTGTAAATGTCTAATATTACCATAACCAAATACGTCTAAGGGTTCATTGCCAGAAAAAGTGGCTCAGTTGACGGAGGGATAGAGATGTGTACCCTGGAGGGCACGACACCTCCTAACCTCAGCTCTCTTTGGTCTGGAACCTGCATTTCCTAGGTTTTCACCCAGCTAGCAGGGCACATGGGAAGGATGGAGAGGGGTGCTCCCTTCTCAGGTCTCCTGTTATATTTAAGGCCCTGTGGTCTACACTGCTACAGCTCTGTCACTGCTCTCCGTCCGGGGGGAGATCTGATCTCTGGATCTGGACACTCCTGTGGTCTTGTCCATGTGCTTCTTGCTCCTTTCCTCCTCACTGGTTCATAGGGGCTTCTGTGCACCAACAACCTCTAAAGAGGAAGGACTCTGTGTTGTGGTCATTCTTTCAGGAAGCCCCCAACTGCCTGCTCGGGGCTTCCTCAGTTTCTCTACCTGGTGGGACAACGCTCAACCTACCTACATTTAGGAGTCGCTTAAAGCAACAATGTGCCTGGCAAGCGCTGCTCCAAATTCATGGAGACTCCCTTCCACCTTGCTGATGAGGTCTGAGCTCACCCAAAGCCCCAGCCTGGATCAATCTTTCAGGACCCGGCAGTGCCAGGCAACCCGGCCCCACACGCGCAAGTGCTCAAGTGGATCCTCCAGCTGTGAGCCCTACAGTGAACACGGCACCGCACAATCACTAATCCTTACATTTTGGGACTCCCTTTAAGAGGTGGAAAGCTAGGGGGTGTAGATACAAATTGACATGGCCTAGTTGTTATAGCGAACTGCTGTTAAAATCACAACTAAGAGGGGCGCCTGGGTGGCTTAGTCGGTTAAGCGTCTGACTTTCTCTTAGGTCATGATCTCGCGGTTCGTGGGTTCGAGCCCCGCGTCGGGCTCTGTGCTGACTGCCGGCTCAGAGCCTGGAGCCTGTTTCAGTCTGTGACTCCCTCTCTCTCTGGCCCTCCCCTGCTCATGCTGTCTCTCTCTCTCTCTCTCCTAGAAATAAGTAAAACATTTAAAAAAAAAATCACAACTAAGAACCTAGATCTTCTGGTTCCTGATGCAGTGACGTTTTCCTTAGAAAATAAGGATTAATTCAGTAGGGTGCTATGCTACGAGTATAACTCTTTCCAATTCTAATAAACATTAGTGCTAATCTCCTTCACCAATATAAACTAAAAACTAAAAGTAGCAAAATACTGAGGCATTAGACATGCCGCATACTACCGGGAATTCTTTTCCATCGAGATCTTATACTGCAGTGTGAACACACTCCATCTGAGCCTCCAGCAAATCCATGTGCCTGGGTGAATTTGAAGGATCTGCAATTGTTAGTGACATGAAGAACAACTCCTTGATCTTTCTACCGTGGCCAAGCGGAAAGAGTAGTTAAGTTAGACTGCTGGGATTCATCTCAGGCCTACCGTGAACTAGCTACATGACGCTGGAAAATCACCGAACCTCTCTTACCTTCATTCTCCTCAGCTGTAAAATGCAGTTCCTCATAGGTCATAACCTTCTTTATTGGAAGATTAAATGAGATAACCCATGCAAAGCTTTTAGTGCAGTGGCTAGCATAGAATAAGCCCTCTACAGTGAGCCAAGATTAAGACAAGAAGGACTTTAAGAACTCCATTTTTTTAATCACCCCAACACCACGTCTTAGTTTAAAGCGCTAAAAGCTGTAAAATGTCACAACTGAAATAAAGCAAATACCTCTGGTTCTATTTGGAGAGTAGCAGGAAATCAAAAGGGCAGATTTTACGACAAGCACAGTGACCCTGGGGAAGTGCCAGGTTTTACTTTCTCAGTGGTGAACTCCCTTCCCTGAGGGGTAACCAGCTACAAGGCATGCAGCTTGTGAGGACCTCGGATTTTCTTTGTTGGATTTTCTTTGTTCAGACTGTTGTGACCGCTAGGAAACTGCTTCTCTGGGGCCTCGCCTCCCATATGAAAAATGAACATTTTTCCTTTTCCCAAGGCTAGGTGGGAAGAAGTCCAAGGCCCTTGCAAATACCACAGGTGTGACATTTACGAAATGAAGAGCCTGGAGATGGTTGTCATGGTTGCAGAGTCTAGAAATTTTTGTCTCAAGTGAGCGTTTTTATTCCTTTGAAGGCATAGACCAGATTAATCCACGGATGTGCAGGACAAACCCAGGTAAAACTGCAACCACCAGGTTCATCTCCAGCCACCCCGTTCTCCCAGCTCACCAAAACGGGTAACAGAAGAGAGTACAACTCATGAGCAATAAAGTGAGAACACTGAGTCAAGCTTGTTACCAAGTACAGCCAAATTCTTTAGATACGGGAATGTGTCAGTTCAGACATCATTCAGAAGATGGACGAAAGTTGGGGCGCCTGGGTGGCTTAGTCGGTTAAGCATCCGACTTTTGCTTGGGTCATGAACTCGCGGTTCGTGGGTTCGAGCCCCGCGTCGGGCTCTGTGCTGACTGCCAGCTCAGAGCCTGGAGCCTGTTTCAGTCTGTGACTCCCTCTCTCTCTGACCCTCCCCTGCTCACGCTGTCTCTCTCTCTCTCTCTCCTAGGAATAAATAAAACATTTAAAAAAAAAAAAAAGAAGATGGACGAAAGTTTTAGTGCAACATTTTCCTAGTATTCACAAGGCCTAAGATGATAGACATGTGATTATTTTAAGCCTGTATGTACATTAAGAGAATTTCTACAAGTCTGTCTCTAGTAACAGGAAAAGCATGAAGAATAAACTAATTGAACTTTCTTTCATTTTTATACAGGAAGAAACTGTGGTCCGTAGCACAAGTTGTAGAGCTTGGGTGGGTGTCAAGGCCAGGCTTCAGACATTTTAGTCGACGGTTCGCGCCACTAAATGTCTTACATTTGTGGGTCCCTTTATCTGTTTTATCGTTGCAAATGAGTCTGTGAGGGAAGCAGGACAGGGACTGTCCACCTCATTGTTCAGATGGGGTCAGAGGCTCAGGGGCTCAGAGGAGTTACCTGGGTTCTTCAAGTTTCCAGGAGAAGCAGGTGCTAGAGTGGGAAATACCTCAGGTCTGACTCTCCCTACTTCTCTTTCCCCTTGCACCATGTACCTAATCAGCTTTGGGATACATTTTCCATTTAATCCTCATAAAAACTCTGAGGCTTATGTCATCTTTCTGACCTCCAGTTGAGAAACTACTACTCCAGCTGGAAACCACGGATCACTGCTGGTAGTCTCTGAGTGTTCAGACAGGAAATGCAAAATGGTGCTCAGTCAGCTGCTGCGATTATTCATGGAACTTAGGAAGAAACAGCCTTCTCATTATTCAACTAGCATTTACTTAATGAGACTATGTGCTGGGCTAGGCACTGAGGATACAAGAACATGACACAGAATCTCCCTTCAAAACACTGTGGAGAGACTAATAAATAAGAAACACTCCCTCCTGAGAGAAGTTCCCAAGTCACCCTGAGAGAAACATCACAGGGAACCTGCTCCAAGATGGCCGGATTAATCTTTCATTCCCATAGCCAGGTCAGGTGACCTCAGTCTTTGGCCCGTTTGTCTTATCCCTCACTTTGGCAAATGGGCAGGATGAGACCGAGATACCTCCATTTCACAGAAAGAGGAAGAGAAAACCAGTTTTCAAAGAGATGAAGTCACTTGACAAGAGCAGCGCAGTTGGTGGAAGTGGTGTTTTCTTATTCTAGAGAAGTTCTCTCTCCGTGTGTTTAATAACCTTTCCAAAGGACAGGTCCAGGGGTTCATCCATCACCGCCTGAGACTGGTCAGGCTGACTGACTGTAGGGGCAGGAAGTCAACATGGCTAAATAACAGAAACGGCCAGCCTGAAACACCTATTGGGATTCTGGGGCTTTGGAGAAAACTCTTGGGAAGAGAGGATGTAAATAAAAAGAAAAGGTGAAGGATTG